GCAAGACCTTCATACAAGAACCTCCCAAGAGCCTCCCACAAGAGCTTTCATGCAAGCACCTCTAATACTGCAAACTCCTCATGCAAGGACCTCTTAGAAAGGATCTCACCGGGATCTCCAGAAGATCTTCTGTTTGGTCCCTGGCATTTTTCTTGTCAATTCTCGCATCAAATAATTTTTGTGACATGTCCATGTGCGTTTCGATTGCGCAGGCTCGCACAAACTGTGCATCCCGGTCTTGGTCTGCACCATATTTTTTGGATAAATTTTCGCACACAATGGCTACTGAGCGGCTATTGTGGCATGTCCATCTGCGTTTGGACTGCTGCGCAAGCTCGCACAAACTGTGCGTCCCGATCTTGGCCCCCGCACTTTTCGTGCAAATTCTGACGTAAAATGGCTCTTGTGATGTCTTTTTGTGCGTTTCGACTGCTCAAGCACAAACTGTGCGTCCCGATCTTGGCCCCAGCATTTTTCCTCTAAATTCTCACCTGAAATGGCGTTTATCACATGCCCATGTGCGTTTCGACGGCGCAAGCACAAACTGTGCGTCCCGATCTTGGCCCCAGCATTTTTTTCCTGAAAATTCTCGCCTGAAATGGCTCTCATGACATGCACATGTGCATTTCGAGTGCTCAGACTCGCACAAACTGTGCATCCCGATCTTGGTCTGCGGCATTTCCCTTGTAAATTCTCGAATAAAACGGCTCTTGGGTCTGAAGCATTTTCGTCGTAAATTCTTGCGTAAGGTGGCTCTTGTGGAGATCCTTTTAAATTCTCTTTCTAAGGTTCTGTACAGAAGAACCTGGCACTGTGGACACCGTTGGGGAAAAAATTGAAAAGCAAAAACAGAAGTAGATGGCAGCGGCAGGGAGACGCATGCCGCAGAGCGGCCCACACAACCAAGTCACATCATAGGAGGCCACTTTGAAGGTCTCTTACATCAGAACGCCTCGGCCAAGGGGCTGCATACCGCCCAACTCGGTTCCGTCACAATGGTCTTCCAGCACCAGATGTGCTGGAGAGGGGCCTAACTGTGCCAATCGATTTTCCAAAGCTAAATCATTTATACCTTTTTCATCCTTTTTCCACGTCTCGCATCATATTCAGAGAAAATGCGCAGTGTACGGCGGGGTATGTTCCATATGCATTCTATTCGCTGTAGTTCTCACATGCTTGGCAGGCATCAAAAATTAAAGGACGCGAAAACCCCACATGTCAACTTCTTCCAATAAGAAGCAAAAAGAAAGGTGAAGACGGGATGGGAAAGGCAGGAAGAGAAAGGGATGGTGGAAGACGGATCGGGTGAGGGAATTCTGTGTGAGAAGGTTGTGTGTGAGAACGTTTAAACCAGTAGTACCGCACAAGGCGGTGGCGGAGGTGTCGAAAATAGGAAACCTATAGGAGGGGATGGTTGTTGTGACTCATGGATGGCAGAGCGAAGCCGCTGATGGACCGAAAGGTGGTTGAGGTCTCCTCTCTTTCTCTCTCTTTCTCTCTCTTTCTCTCTCTTTCTATCTCTTTCTCTCTCTTTCTCTGACTATCTACCTACCTACCTACCTACCTACCTACCTATCTATCTATCTATCTATCTATCTAATCTATCTGATCTATCTATCTTTCTATCTATCTATCTATCTATCTGTGTATCTATCTATCTATCTATCTATCTATCTATATATATATATCTCTCTCTCTCTTTCATCTAATTACCCTATCTATCCATCTATCCATCTATCCATCTATCCACCTATCCACCTATCCATCTATCCATCTATCCATCTATCCATCTATCCATCTATCCATCTATCCATCTATCCATCTATCCATCTATCCATCTATCCACCTATCCACCTATCCATCTATCCATCTATCCATCTATCCATCTATCCATCTATCCATCTATCCATCTATCCATCTATCTGTCAATCAATCAATCAATCAATCTAATCTATCTATCGATCTATCGATCTCTCGGTCGATCGATCGATCTATCTATCTATCTCTCTCTTTTTCACCTAATTCCCTATCTATCTATCTGTCTATCTATCTTTCTATCTATCTATCTATCTATCTACCTATCTACCTATCTATCTGTCTGTCTGTTTGTCTATCTATCGATTATCTATCTATCTATCTATCTATCTGCAAGCTTGAAAACGAAGCTATTCTGCGAGACTTCCACTATTTTTGCACTTGACAACATCAAAAACGAAGCAATTCTGCGAGACTTCCTTCAAAAATGGAAAGTTGAGTGCAAAGCTGACGGCCTCGTGTCAAGGCATTTTGCGATTTTTCCAATCCATCTGTCTAAACTGTGCGCCTGCCACGAAAAAGTGATGCCGGGTCATACGAAGTGCTGCACCTGTCACGCAAAATCATCTCAGCAAACCTGAAGATCTGAGGCTCCAAAATGCAACCCCACTCAGGAAATCAGCGCCCTGACCTCCTAACAGCTCTGATCAACATGTCTCTTGTATTGCGCCTGCCACGGAAAATGCACCTTTGCAGATCTTCTTCAATTGTCCCACGCCTGGCATCGTTTTTGGAAATGCTACAAATCCCGCGCGTTTTGCTCACTTTTGACACACCGTGGTCCTCAGCCCAAATCTCCAACGCCATTTGAAACAATTCCTTCGAAAATGGCATCTCCAAGTGCTGGCCTACCAAGTCCCATGCCATAACCCATCCTTCAAGATGGTGTTTATCAAGCATGCTGCGGTCTTGGACCAGTTGTGCAACCACAAACAGGCCATCGCCGATTGGTCTACAGGTGATGCACCAACTTGCTGCTGCAAAAACTGGTCAAAGTTCTCCAAGTAGCCCTCAACCCGTCAGATCCACACTGGGTCTTAGCCAGCTCTCTCCTTCACGATTTGCTTCCACAGGATCTCGCGGTCATTGCTGAAGGTTCCTTAAGAAAGACTACCATACTCAATTGAAGACAGGCCTCAAACAATGGACCAAGCGCAATGGCCTTCCCTCCATGCCACTCACCGACATCTCCGACCTGTGTCAACACACCACGTTCAACAAGTCACTTGCCACATTAGCAAGACATCAATTACAACCTTTCAAAAGGTGTTCGATGGGGCTATCTTTCATTGTGAAGACAAACAAGCTTCGTCCCCCAGAATATACTGTCCTTGCCTCTACCATCAAGCGATCGAAAACACCTTCAACGACCCTTCAATCTTCGAACCCGTTCCCCAAGAACCTACTACAATTGTTACCTCACTTGTTGACCAACTTCAAAAACAACATGGCAAATCTTACCCTTGGGCAGGTCGTCAACTCCCTGCCGGCTACATCCTGGCCAGCAAGAAGAAGGGGTTCCAAAGAGGTCGACCTATCATGTCGTTCGTCGACTCCCCCTTTCGCCCCATGCTCAACATCCTGGCCAAGATGACCTTCCAGCTTATTCCGGTGGCTTGCCCCAACCACTTTGCCTCAGGAGATGTTACACACTCCTTGGCATCCTGCGGTCAGCGCCCGTCGACGCCGATTTGATTCTGGTCAATCAAGACCTGGATGGATTCTTCGCCAGCATTGACCAAGAAAGATTCATTGGGGCGTGGTTCATGCTTTTGGACTTCCTTCGACCACATATGAATGTGGCCGACAATGAGGTATTTTCCGTTGACCAAGGAAAATCCAACAATCCAGGCGATCTCATCAAAGGTCGCACCTTTCGTCGACTAAATGTCACACGGAAAATAGTCATCAAAGATGTCCCATCCCTTCTCACGACGGCGCTTGATATGCAAACCTTTGCTCTGGGCCAACGTTGCATTCCGACAACGAAGGGGAAGCCCTATGGGCAGCCCACTCTCCCCAGCCCTTTGCCTCATGGTTGTTTCCATCAGTGGACAAATTTGGTCCATCAACTTCAACCAACTCCTTTCCAACCATCATCTCTTCATCAAACACATCCGCTATGTGGACAACAGACTCATCTTTGGCGACTCTCGCCTCCAACAACTTCCACCCTATGAAGTCCTTCTTGAGGAAGGCTTCTATGGAAAGCCCATCATCCTGGAAATGGAACCTGACCAAGAGTTTCTTGGTTTCATGCTTGAAACCAAGCCTTTGGAACTCATCTACCACGGCCCCACCAACATCTCCCAGGTCCTGTCACCATACTCGGCATCCCCACCACAAGTTCTTCTCAGTGGCTTTCGATCTCGCTGCCACATCGTCGTCAAGGGTGCTTTCCCAGATTACCGAGTCCAGCGAGGCCTGGATCAATTAATCCACTTATATACTCTGGCTGGTTTTCCCAATGAGGAACTCCACACCATTTCATCGCAGATTTTGACTCAGCATCAGAACCTTCAGCTGCATGAGAAAATACACTGGCCATTATGTCGTGTCACCTTTTGTTTCCTGTTGTCTTCGGGGTTCTCTCTCGTGGTTCTTGTTCCTGTCGTCTTTCTTCCTGGTCCCGCGTGTCTCCTCCTTTAGTGTTTGGCTCAAACTCGTGCCCTCAATTTGCGTTGGTATTGTTACCTTCGTGGTCACCATGGATCCTTCGCATGGTCGTGAGATTCACTAATATTTGGCTCGTGCGTTAATGCACCTGAACACAATTGCAGGCTTCATTCCTTTCTTTGAACCTACAGTTGACTAGGATGAACATCTACATGATACATACGATCGCCCACTTCGTGTCCATCCATCTCACAGGCACTTTTGTTCCCCATCCCGCTTCTTCGTCCACTCCTACTCTCGCATCCCATGGCGGGCTACCCGCTCACATGATCCTGAAGCCGGAACCTCATTTACGCCCTCTTTCCACACGTCGTGAACCCGGTCCCATTGAGGACCATCACCCTGCCAGCCACCCACCCGCGGTGGAATCTACTTCATCCACTCGAGCCAGGCCTCCTATCTCTGGACCTTCTGTCCATACTATTGCGGTCACATCTCCTCACACCATCGACCCACTTGCAAGAGATTCCTTGTCCGAAGACGCCCGGCCCAAAAAGAAACAGCGGGCTATGAACACAGCAACACCCTCTACGACAACCAAACCCCATGGCAAAGAGGTGATTCCCTCCCTACCAGTCATCCGTGACATTCCTCCAGAAGGTTTCAACCCCGATGACTCTGATGACGCAACAAATCATGGACGTCCTGCATCCAATCCTCGACCGGCCTCACCACCGCCAGGGAGCCCAAGTGCGCCGGTGAATGACACATCACGACCTCCAACTGCAGATGCTGCTCTGATCCCAGCAACCGCGAAGTCAAGCACAGTGGCACCACCAGCCACTCCGGCAACCATTGCCCCGTTGGACCGTCGTTCCACTCACTCTAGCATTTGCCCTTGGACGGATGCGGAAGACCATGAATTATGTCAACTCAAAAATAACAGCAAGTCCAGACCTTCATGGAAGACGATTAGCCAACGATTCCGACGTGATCCAGAAGTGTGCAAGATCAGATGGTCAATCCTGAAGCAGACCATGCCGGAAGCCAACCCACGTAATGAAGAAGAAGCGGAGGACTGAGCGCTTCAGTGAGAAAAAGAACAAACGTCGTGCATCTCATACTAATGTTTCATTCCGTGACCGTGCTAGGTGATTGGTTTTCTTTTCTTGTTGTTTCTTTCAGATGTATTACTTCAGCCTGGCCCAATTTCACTTTAGCGTCCACATCATGGTACGTGAACGTTCTCGATCTCGTGATGACCCTTTCATGTGGGGTCATCCAAACCCCGATTGTCCTCATGACCCGACACATCATCGTCGATGGAACTATACCCCAGCGCTTCGTCGGACTAGGAGAATCCTCATTATGATCAATCTGGACGCCACCAAACAGCTGGTGAATGAACAAATGTCGGATGTCATGGAAGTCACTACGTATGAACACCTTCATGATCTTCGTCCTACTGAAGAATTGGCTCTGTTCACCTACAGTTGCCTATCAACACCTGGCCGAATCCAGATAGTTTCTGTTGGCGACTTGTTGACCTACCTCAGCCAATACATCTTCAACACATGGGGGATCCATATCGAGTCCACAGCCATGGACCTTCGTTGAAGTGATTGTACTGGAGATACATTTGCACTTCGCCCCAACCAGATCATCACTCGTTTGCTTCGTGAACATCGTCCCCACTGGACTGAAGCGCGGGAAATAGTGATTTTCAATTCATTGGTTGACTTTACCAAGCCAGGTCAACCTTACATTATGCGGCTCAGTTGTCACAAGGCCTTGCCTAATCCTAATCACCTGCCGTGACTGCCGTCAGTTCGAAAACAATCCGTACTGCTACCATTTCTTATTTCATTACCTGTTGTCTTGTCGGTGTTGTTTACTGTCTTTGTCTGTTTATTATGGCTCCAGCTTTATGACCAAGAGGGATTCCTCCTGTGCTGAACATATGATTCCTCCCCCCTGGACCTTCGTTTTGTTTCCTGGTCCAGCCTTCTCATCGCCGCCCATCCGGTGCAGCCTCTTCGGCCGCTGCTTCTACCCGACAGGTACGACTTCCAGGATCAGCTTATGGATCTCATCCTGACCTATGGATATGCAGCCTCAGCTCCCAGCCCTCTGCCAAATATCAACTCTCTTCATAAATACTTCATACTAACTTCATACCCAAATCTTCAAGGAAGTGATTTCTGGCGGAGCCAACCGGCTTCGCAGATGGTCACGAAAATTGACACTGGTCAAGAAAGCAACCGTCAACCGGAATTCTTCTTCAATGGCATACTAGGGCATGTGAGGGACCGTTGGGAGGGATACATTGACAGCTGGACAGAGTCCTCTCGCCTGGCCAACTACTGGCGCAGGTTCTTCAACATTGATGAAATACATGAAGAAACCACCACTGAAGGTCACCAAGCAGGACATCATCAAAATGAGTCTGACGATGCTGCCCCTGGTGACGCAGAGGACCTCGCGGATGACACCTGGGTGACAGTCCATACGGGAGATGCGCCGGTTCCAAGTCAGGTACACCAACTGGCCACCATTCTTTACAATGTGTTGATCGCGGATCCTGAATACAACGCACCGATCCTTGAGAAGCTTCAGATCCCTCCGGAAGACCTATCGGGTACCCAGGTAAAACTGTTCACCGCAGTGGAACTTTCGCATATGGCCAGCCACCTTGCTATCACAGCAATTGAATTGGCTCGAAGCGCTCGACCTGATGACTATGAGGACATCTCGGACATCTCTGACTAAGTCATGTACCTCTCCTGAGCTGCGGCTTAGCTAATTTTTGCTGATACAAATTCATTCATTCTTTGCAATTCATCTTCTTGTCTCTGGCATTTTGATCGCACCATCCGGACCCAGTTGACCGTATCAGAGCTCCTTCGCATTGCAATTGTGCATCTTCCGAAAAAAGCACCGCGGCAGCAAGGCGTATGTGTGGAACATCTGAACAGATGCAAAACTTCTACCTGATGATGTCGATTTTTGCTGTTCGTTTGGTTTTCGTTTTTTCTCTTTGTGATGCTTTGTCAACTTCTACTGCCGTTTTCAACTTCAATGTACACTTTAGAGCAGGGGGTGGACGCATGGTCTGGCAGTCATCCACCAACGAAGACACTGCCTTTCCGTGGTGATATGACGAAGGGGCGCCTTTGTCACGTACCTGCTTCATTTTCGGACATGGGATGTGGCTAACCCAAGAACCACCAGGCCGTTTCATTTCATTTCATGTCATTTGTCCACGATCGCTTTTCAAACAGTTTTCAAACCAAACTCGAACCGATGAATTTCAACTCAATGTCAGGTGGGAATGATTTGACTCTTGCATCTAGCACTAGTCATGGCGATGGAAACTTTTCGAACTTTCTCGGGTCCTTTCACCGACTCATTCCTGTCAGGTATAACTGGATTGTTTTTGCACGTGCGATGCATGCCACATCAGAATTCGCAAAGATTGTTCTGAGCAAGTGTGTGAGAAGGTTGTGTGTGAGAGAATTGTGTGTGAGAAGGTGTGTGCAGAATGGAAGCCCACGGGAACCAAGTGCGCCACCAGAGCTAGCCCAGTGCCATAAGTGCCACGCCTGCCACACGTTGTGTTGAGAGAGTTGTGTGTGCAAGAGTTGTGTGCGAGAGAGTGGTGTGCGAGAGAGTTGGTGTGTGAAAAAGTTGTTGTGTGTGAGTAGTTGTATGTGAGAAAGTTGCTGTGTGTGTGTGAGAGAGTAGTTGTGTGTGAGAGAGTTGTGTGTGAGGGAGTTGTTGTGTGAGAGTACGTCTAAGTTGTGTGTGAGAGTAAGCTGTGTGTGAGAGAGTTGTTGTGAGGAAGTTGTGTGTGAGTTGTTGTGTGTGAGGGAGTTGTGAGAGAGGTGTTGTGTGTGAGAGAGTTGTGTGTGAAAGAGTTGTGTGTGACAGGAGAGAGTTGCGTGTGAGAGTGTTGCTGTGTGTGAGAGAGTTGTGTGTGTGTGAGTAAGTTGTGTGTGAGGGAGTTGTTGTGTGTGAGTAGTTGTGTGTGAGAAAGTTGGTGTGTGTGAGAGAGTTGTTGTGTGTTAGAGAGAGTTGTTGTGCGTGAGAAAGTTGCTGCGTGTGAGAGAGTAGTTGTGTGTGAGAGAGTTGTGTGAGGGAGTTGTTGCGTGTGAGAGTAAGTCTAAGTTGTGTTTGAGAGTAGGCTGTGTGTGAGAGAGTTGTTGTGAGGAAGTTGTGTGTGAGTTGTTGTGTGTGATAGAGTTGTGAGAGAGGTGTTGTGTGTGAGTAGTTGTGTGTGACAGGAGAGTGTTGCGTGTGAGAGAGTTGCTGTGTGAGAGAGTTGTGTGCGTGTGTGAGTAAGTTGTGTGTGAGTAGTTGTGTGTGAGAGAGTGGCGACGGCGGACGATGGACGGGAGCGGGCGGACGGGAGTCGTGTGAGAGAGTGGCGGTGACGGACAACAAAAAACAAGAACCCCACACAAAGATGTGGGGAAATACCTTCTGCCAAAGTGCCACCCGGACAAAACTGGGCCCAAGACCAAACCGTTGCAAGGCTTTGCAACATATCTGATAACAACAAACTTGGCGACCAGCAGCACTCGTAATGGTAATGGCAGCAGCAGGAACAGAAGCAGTGGCAATAGCAACAGCAGCAGCGCTAGCAGTAGGAATAGTAGCAGCAGGAGGAAGAGTACCAGTAGTACCGCACAAGGCGGTGGCGGTAGTTTCAAAAAAGGAAGGGTTGGTTGTTGTGACCCACGGATGGCAGAGCGAATCCACTGATGGACCGAAAGGTGGTTGGAGTTTTTTTTTTGGAGTGGTTGCTGGATGTAGTGTGGTGTTGTGCAGTTGTAGTTGTAGCTGTAGTGTTGTGGAGTTGTAGTTGTAAGTTGTAGTTGTAATGTAGTGTAATTAGTGTAGTGTACTTGCCAGTGCAGTTGTAGTTGCGATGTGGTGTAATTAGTGTGGTGTATTGTAGTGGACTGTAGTGTTGTGTACTGTTGTAGCGTGGTATAGTGTAGTGTATTGTAGTGTATTGTAGTGTCGTTGTAGTTGTAGTGTAGTGCCGTGTAGTGCAATGTAGTGGTTGTTGCAGTTGTAGTGTAATGTAATGTAATTAGTGTAGTGTAGTGTTATATAATGTAGCGTAGTTGTAGTTCTATTTGCATTTGTAGCTGTAACGTACTGCAGTTTTCAGTAGTGACTGAGTGTATTGTCGTGTAATGTAGTGTAGCTGTACTTGTAGTTGTAGCTGTGGTGGTGGTAGAAGAAGAAGAAGTAGTAGTAGTAGCAGTAGTAGTAGTAGTTGCTGCTGTAGTTCTATTGTAACTAGTGTAGTGCAGTGTGATTAGTGTTGTGTAATGCAGCGTAGTAAATTTGCACTTGCAGTAGTAGTAGTAGGAGTAGCAGCAGTAGTAGTAGTAATAATAGTAGTAGTAGTAGCAGTAGTAGCAGTAATAATAGTAGTAGTAGTAGTAGCAGTAGTAGCAGTAAAAATAGTAGTAGTAGTAGTAGTAGTAGTAGCAGGAGTAGTAGTAGTAGTAGTAGTAGTAGTAGTAGTAGTAGTGCAGTGCAGTGGTACTTGTATTTGTAGTTGCACTTGTAGTTGCCTACCTACCTACTGTCTATCTGCAAGCTTGAAAACGAAGCTATTCTGCGAGACTTCCTCAGTTCTTGAACTTGACAACATCAAAAACGCAGCAATTCTGCAGGACCTCCTCAATTTCTGAACTTGACAACACCAAAAACGAAGCAATTCTGCGAGACTTCATGTTTTTTGGAAGCTGCAACATCAAAAACGAAGCAATTCTGCGAGACTTCCTTCAAGAATGGAAAGTTGAGTGCAAAGCTGGCGGCCTCGTGCCAATGCGTTTTGCGATTTTTTCCACTCCACCTGTCTAAAGTATTGCCCCTGCCACGAAAAAGTGATGCCGGGTCATACGAAGTGGTGCACCTGTCACGCAAAATCATCTTCCCAGAACTGAAGATCTGAGGCTCCAAAATGAAACCCCACTCAGGAAATCAGCGCCCTGACCTCCTAACATCTCTGATGAACATGTCTTTTGTACTGTGCTGCCACGGAAAAGTATCTTTGCAGATCCTCTTCAAATGTCCCACGCCTGCCATCGTTTTTTGGAAATGCCACAGCCCCCTCACGTTTTGCTCACTTTTGACACGGTGCACAATCCCTTGCGCCTGCCACGCAAAACGACATCTGAACGTCCAAAAGTGGTCCGAACATGTGGTATTTTTAAACATTTTGACTTGGAAATGTGCTTCGCCACAACGGGGTGCACTTTTCGACATCTCATCTTCCGAACGTGCTCCGATGTTGTTGTGTTTTGTGCGTTTTTATTTCGACATGTTCTTCGCGCCACAACGGCGTGCAATTTTTCATCTCTCGCCTCGCAGTAGTAGCAGCAGCAGCAGTAGTAGCAATGGTCGAAGGAAGTTTGGAAGTCAAACTTCCGACAATATGGAGAGATGAAAAAGCAGTCAGCAGGGAGAAGAGTCAGAAGAGAAAAGATCAGAAGAAAGAAGATGCAGGTGCGCGGAAAGGTAGGAAAGTCGCGAAACACTGTGTTTTTTCGTGGTTTTGTGGCTCCGGAGGGTCGAAAAGTAGGCTCGCTAAAGCGGCGGGTGCTTAGACATCCTGGTGAGATGAGAGATGAAAAGTTGCACGCCGTTGTGGGGGGCGCGCAGCACATTTTTCGCAAGTCAAAATGTCAAACACAACACCAGGTTCGGACCACACTTTTGAAGTTGAGATGTTGAAAAAGTGCACGTCTTTTTGCGTCGAAGCACTTCCAAGTCAAAGTTTTTTTTATGTTTTTTTTTTACAAGCACCCATTCTCCGGACCATGTTGGCAGTTGAGATGTCGAAAGTTCCACCCGTTTGTAGCGCGAAGCACAATTTACCCAAGTCAAAAATGTACAAAGCACACCAGGTCGGACCACTTTTCGAGTGAGATGCCGAAAACAAGTGCACGCCGTTTTGGCGCGAAGCACATTTCCAAGTGCATGTACAAAGCACTACTGTGCGCGCCACTTTCTGGGGTTCGAAATGTCGAAAAAGTGCACGCCGTTGTGGCGCGAAGCACATTTCGAAGTCAAAATGTACAAAGCACTACATGTTCGCGCCACTTTTGGAAGTTGAGATGTCGAAAAAGTGCACGCCGTGGTGTCGCTCTTTTTATTTTTCTCACAGGCGAAGCACATTTCCAAGTCAAAATGTACAAAGCACACCATTCTCGGACCACTTTTGGAAGTTGAGATGTCGAAAAAGTGCACGCCGTTGTAGCGCGAAGCACATTTCCAAGTCAAAATGTACAAAGCACACCAGGTCCGGACCACTTTTCGAAGTTGAGATGCCGAAAAAGTGCACGCCGTTGTGGCGCGAAGCACATTTCCAAGTGAACATGTACAAAGCACTACATGTTCGCGCCACTTCTGGAGGTTCGGATGTCGAAAAAGTGCACGCCGTTGTGGCGCGAAGCACATTTCGAAGTCAAA